TTTATTCTTATCTTATGTTACCTAGTTAGCATTCTTTCTTTCTATTTATGCATATTTTACTAATCACTCCCCTTTTAAACTGTTTGTTTTTTACTGTCCTATAGCACACATTGGAGAGATTTCTTACTTTATTTTTTACAATGATATTAAATAGATAAAGGTGTGCTCTCTCTCCCTCTCTCTCTCTCTCTCTGTCTCTCTCGCTCACAGAGGCTGTGTACTCCTCCGTGGCGATGATGGCTTGCGTTAAAAAAATTAAATAAACATATTTATAAAGTGGGGGCTATTGAGGGCTTGCGAGATACCGGTAGCTCGCGATCGACGTGTTGGAGACCCCCGCTCTAATGGGTCTGACTAGAATGACAAATATCGTTAGTTCCGCCTATTCCGCCGGCCATGACGTCGTTTAATCATAAACTTTTTTTTCCTATTGGCCAGAGAGAGAGTAATGGCAGATGGAAAATGGTTTTAGTTGTCAAGTGTTATTTAATGTACAGTTTCTCACACACACACTTTCTGAAAATCAGTTTGATGTATTTTACAGCATCTTCTTTAAATCTGTATGTGTGTGTGTGTGTGTGTGTGTGTGTGTGTGTGTGTGTGTGTGTGTGTGTGTGTGTGTGTGTGTGTGTGTGTGTGTGTGTGTGTGTGTGTGTGTGCGTGTGTGTGTGCGTGTGTACCCACTCCTATGATTGCGTTGAGTTCAGCCATGGTGACCTGCTTGGCCCGCTCCACCGCCTGCACCACCTGCTGCTGATGCTGGGAGAGATAGACACAGCAGAGAGAGTGAGATATAGCAGCAGCAACTAAGATGATGAAAATAATATCTGTTGAAACAGACATACACAATTCTCTGAAATAAATAAAGATCAGATTGTCTGCACACCTCTCTAAACAATGATTTTGCCATCAATCGGTTCACAAGTAAGTGACAGTGCCTTACTAAAAGCTTTGCATTAGGGATCGTAAAACAATTCCCATCCATCAGTTTTTCAGAGATTCAAGATTCAAGATTCAAAGGCATGCCAGGCTCCTCCAACAATGCGACATAATATATAAAAGACTATATATAATATATATATCTTATATATAAGAAAATAAAATAGTGCAAGAAAAAACCGTGAAGAATAAAATAGAGCAAGATTATCTTGCAAGAGTAATTGGCAAATGCAAATTATATCAGCTGTAAGCACAAGTGCAATGAAATTCTATTGTATATTTTTTGCACATCTCAGAATATTGTAGCTATAGAGAATAAGACATATTTGTGGAGAGAGAGAGAGACCCAGAGAGACAGACAGCTAACAGGGCAACAAGTCATCCACAGATTGCTGAGCGAGAAAGACAGATCCACACGATGAGAGAGAGCAGCAGAGCTTCAGGAGCGCAAAACATCAAAGTAGGGCAGAGACGAAAGAGCTTATCCAGTGTGGAAATGAACCTGACCATCAAGTTCAGCTACGCCTCTGCAGAGTCTAAACGTGACTCACACACATGAAAGGTGAATATTGGCCAATAGCTTCTAAAGCATTGTTACCAATTTCTCATAAACATAATAGACCATCACTTTTTTACTTTGATATTTCAACCCAATCGGATGCTTTTCATTTGATCACCTTTGCCCTTAGAATGTATTTGCCATAAGGTGACACGATAATTGATGGAAACACTGTCTCTTTTTCTGGTTGGATTACTGACTGAGTTTCCCTGGCTGGCACACTGTTGCAACTAAGGAAACACTAATAAGTGTATACGAAAAGCTGCTATCAGTATGAAAACCTTACAAATGTACACAAGGTAAGATATTTATTTTATTTTATGAATTGCTAGTAACTGTCACGCATTACCAAAATCATTAGATCAGTTCAGCTAAATAATGTCGGATTAAAGGTTTGGTTTGTTAAAAAATATAATCAATAACAATGTCCACTAACGGACTGATTTATGATACTGATACCAAAACCTTACTTTATTAAATCCCATTACTTGCAGAGATCAAACCATACAAATTATTTTATTTTTAAAGAAAAAGATAAACCTGTAATAATGAGAAAAGATGTGATCTACATTTAGCGAAATCATGATTTAAATCAAGAAACAAGACTAGACTATGACCCAGGATTCAGTTATATCGTGAGTTGCTTGATAAGTTAAAATACTCTTGGTTAAGACTCAATTTGCATCTATATGAACAAATATAGAATTTTAGGGATAATTCCAAAAAAGAGCAAATACTTCTGAGCAATAAATTCACAATACACTAGGTTGACTAAGTACGTCATCGTATTTGTGACAACAACAAGAAAAACTCCAAACTGTGAAAAGGGAAAATATAAAAAAATGACCAAAATAAAATACACAAGGCTCTTCCAGACACACACAGTCATTGTGATTTTCTGCCACATCTTAATATGATTGTCATAATAAAAATATGCACACGTAAAAAGGGCTGTGCATCAAAACAAAAGCAGCATAAAGCTGTTTCCTCTCCCTGCCCCCCCC